TTACTTTGATCTATGATCAATGGGTATGGAAGTCAAGAAATCAAGCTATGTATTGCATTGGAAGTCTATTGCAAAGATCTTGTAAAAGAACTATAAAGCAAGGATGTCACTCTGCGGACTAAGGTGTGCCTACCCTAAGGAGATGAGGATATTTTCAATCATCTCATATGCATGTGAAAACTGGATAATGAATAAAGAAGACCAAAGAACTGAAGTCTGAATTGTGGTGTTTGGAAGAACATTAAATACAACACGGATTGCCAAAAGAATAAACAAATCTGCCTTGGAAAAAGTGTACCAGAATGATCCTCAGAAGCATTTGAGCATGTTATTGGGAGGGACCAGCTCCTGGAGAAGGGCAGTGCGTGGTAGACAGAGACAGGGGAAAAGAGGAAGATGCTCAATGAAATGGATTGACACAGTGGTTGCAACAAGGGCTCAAGCTTAGTAGTGATTGTTAGGATGTGGCAGGCCCTGGCAGGATTCTGTTCTGTTGTACACAGGGCTGCTATGACTTGCAATCAACTCAAGAGCCCCCACAGTATCATGAGAATGCACCAACAGGAATGCCTGTCAATCTGTCACATGGGCATCAAGCCTGATTTGCATTTTCCATACCATACTGTCTTCAGATGTCATTTTTTTGTCATCTGGCATTGCAGGTAGAGGTGATAGCACCTTTGCCCCCCACTCCAGTTTGTCCCTCTCCCTGAGAGACCACCACCATCAGGAACTGACCACCATCAGGAACTGCTCTGCATGGTTGAAGAAATACCCACAGTTTCACAATGGATCCTTCTCCAGTATGCTTTTTTTTTTTGGCTCAGCATTGTTTTCGAGAGCTGTCCGTGTTAATTCACAGAGTTCTAATTTATTCATTTAACTGCATTACTCCATTAGAGGCATATGCCACATTTTATTAATCTTCTCCCTGGCTGATTAACGCTTGGCTATTTCCAGTTTGTCGCTATTACAAGCAAGGCTGCAATAAATAGCTTTCCACCCAGGCATGAGTTTCTAGGATATAAACCTGGAAGGAAGACAGCGAGGGCACAGGGCACCCACATTTTCCATTTACACTAGGTGGTGCCAACTTTCTCTCCAATAGTTAGAGAGTCTCTTAAATGGCTTCTAAAAACAGTCTAAGAGTGTTGCCTTTCACCTTGGCACCTCTAATCCACTGGAATATCCTGGTTTATTAATGGTTTTAAGATAAAGCCCAATTCATGGTTTTCTTTGGGTTGGCAGTGCAGCTCCTTACCCACTAGGCCAGCAGAGCTCCCCTAATTCATGGTTTTCTTGAGGTAGAATGCCAAGGGCCTCTCATTATACTGGGGTCTATCTACTCCTAGATCCCGGTGGCATCTAATCATTTTATCATAGCTTTGTACAAATCACCTGTTTAAAATATTTAATTCAGTGGTTTTCAGTATAGTCACAGGGTTGTGCGACCATCACCACCACCTAATTCTAGAACATTTTCATCACCTCAAAAGAAAACTTGGACCTATGACTAGTCGCTCCCCATTTTCCCTTTCCTCAGTCCCTGGAAACCACTAATCGACTTTCTGTCTCTGGATTTACCTATTCTGGATATTTCACAAGGGGATAATGCAATAATAGGGAGTTTTTTTGGTTTTTTACTTCTTTCACGTAACATAGTGTTTCACTTATGCAGGGTACAGTATGGCTCCAAATATCCAATCTTTTTATGGCCAAGTACTATTGTATAGATGTCACTTTAGTAATTTAGACTATGTCTACTTTTCAGCTATCATGGATAATGATGCTATAGACATTCAAGAACGAGTTTCTGCACGAACAGAGGTTTTTCTTTTTCTTGACTATATGAGTAGGAGGAGAAACACTGGGCCGTCAATGCAGATTACATTTCAACATCAAGAAGACAAAAACTTCACCACTGGCCCAAAAGGCATGATGGAGAGAAAAAACTGAAGTTGTTGTTGATTTTATTTTGCGTGGATCCACAACTAATAGCCTTAGTACCAGCAGTGAAGAAATCAGAAGACGTGATGCTTTGGGAAAATTTGCTATCAAGGACCTTCCTTCCCAAATTGATAATTAGCAATGACGTTAGTGTAAAGACTAAGGTGGACCTGACCCAAGCCATAGTCTTTTCAACTACTTGCTATGCATTTGAAAGTTGGACAATGACTAAGAATGACAGAAGAGGAATCAATGCCTTTGAGTTGTGGTGTTGGAGAAGAGTAATAAATATCCTATGGATTGCCAAGAGCACAAACAAGTACATCCTGGAGAAAGTGCAACGAGAGTCCACCTTAGAGGAAAATTTCGCCTCATATTTGGGTATGTTGTTAGGAGAGGCGAGTTCTTGAAAAAAGGGCATCAAGCTTGAAAAAGTGGACAGTCAGCAAAAGTGAGCAAGACCCTCTCTTTTGACATGGTCTCAGCATGAGGACTGCAGCACTGGCCTCCACGTACCAGAGATGATGAGGATGGCACAAGGGTGGGCAGGAGAGGGTTCAGATCCGTTCAGAGGGTCGCTATGAGTCGTACTCGACTTGATGGTCCTTATCAGCAATAACAACAACATGGAACCCTGGTGATGCAGTAGGTTAGTGCTGGGTTGTAAATAAAAGGTCATCAGTCTGAATACACTAGCTGCTCTTTGAAAGAAATTAAGGCAGTTTTGCTTATGTAAGATTTACAGCCTTGGAAACCCTAGGGGCAGTTCCACTCTGTCTCCTAGAGTCGCTAGGAGTTGAAATTGACTCGACAGTAATGGGTATAGTTTATGTGTGTACACACACTCACGCACACACAGACATATGGGGGTTCTGGGGGCACAGTCCATACCCAAAGGTTACACCTCTCTGGCAGTTTAAACCCATCAGTGGCTCCACAGGAGAAAGCTGGGTAATCTGTTCCCATACAATTTGTTGTTAATGTTCTGTTGTGTTAGAATCAACTCATTGCTGACTTTCCAACAGGTTTTCAGAGGCTGTAAATTCTGCCAGAGAAGACTGCCCGTCTTTCTCTCATAGAGCAGCTGGTGGATTAGAACTGTGTACCTTAGGGTTGGCAGCACAACTTTTTACCTCAAAGCCACCAGAGCTAATCCCCTTGTAAATTATAGTTATGAGTCTGTTCAGACTGGATAGCAATGACATATACTATCTAACAACAACCACCAACTACCTATCAACCATTAACTTTGGGTGCCCTCCTGATGCTGCTTATTTAAAGGCAGGTGGTTTGAATCCACTCCGAGGCACGTCAGAAGAAAGGCCTGGTGATCTGCTTCCAGGTCACTGTGACGTGCAGTTCTACTCTGTAACATACGGAGTTGCCACCACACACTGCAATTGACTAGATGACAACTGGTTGGGGTTTTGGCTAGAGAACTCTATGTTCGTCCAAAAGTGACTGCATCATTTTTTCATCTAATTTAAAAGTGACAGAAATGTCACAGGAGCCGTAGGAATGGCATCCCCAGCAGCCTCCTGGGCCTCCTCACTGTCCTCTCAGGTCAGCCCATTCATGCATCTTTGTCTGCAGAGCCTCTTGCTCATCCTGACACAGACCCCCCTCCATTTTTTTATTATCTTTAACTTATATATTTATTATCTTAGCTGCAAATTCATTCACATTTATAAATTACTCGACTGCACCTAACAGCAACAACAATAATTTATAAATGACACAATGCAGTTAGAAAAGGCTCTTTCTGTTCACCAGAGCTAGAATAATACGTTCACTTGACTTGACCCACTCCATTCTGACCCTACCCTAGCTTTCTCTTGCTACTGTTGGATCACAGGAGGCCTGGACATATCATCAGGAAGCAATTTCTTTCCATGTGATGCCTAGAATCCACTTGTGGTGTTAGAATTGGCTTTTTTAAAAAAAACCCTTATTTTATTATTTTTTGTGCATGTACCATCAAATCAGATCTGACTGGTACAGGAGGAAATTGTCCCTCCTTGTCTGGCAGAGCATCTGGTGGATTCAAACCGTGCACCTTTGGGATTGCAATACAGCTTCTTGCCACTAGGCCACCAGAGCTCCCCTAGAATTGGCTTTTTAAGCCACTGTGTTAGCCCCTGTTAGGGGCATGGTCTCCAGCTACCTTAACTGCAGACATACGGTCTTGCAAATCACCAACACCTGTGGGACCAATATAAGAGAGAGCTTTCCACACTGTGTAGTATGCTGGAGACGACAGTGGTGGAGAGATTGTGAAGAGATTGTGGCACTGCTGTGAAGCGACTGTGGTAAGGAGTAACCTGGGGAACCCTGGAGGTAACGGCCACAGTTAAAAGATTAGCTTGCTGGGTGACTGAAAGAAAAGCTGATCTGTAACTGCTCTGAAGATAAAGGACACACAGTTAAAAGTTTTTCTTGCTGGATGATTAGAGGAAAAACTAACTTACAATGGCTATGAGGTATTGTCTGCTGGATGACGGAGGAAACCAGAGGCTTCATGCATATATGCTGAAGTTTCACTAATTGAGAAGTTGCGTCTTGCTGTTAATCTGGTTTGGGACTGCTGGACTAAACCTGGATTTACACTGGATGACGTTCTTTTCTTTTCCCACTAACTTTTCCCCTTAAATCCCACAACTGTGAGTAAAGCCTGTGAGTCAACAATGATTACTGGACCCAAATGGTTGGGAGAAAGAGGTGCAGGAGCATGTGGGTGGGAGGTCTGACCAAGCAGCTGTTTGCTGTTATGGATATTATTGATGATGTTAGTTCCCCTTTCTGAAGTGGGCACAGATCAGATTTGGCCACTCCCATGCTGTTGTTGCTCCTTTTGCACCACCTAATGTTTACCTCAGTTTCCTTATCTGTGAAATGGGTTACACTTAACCCTCAATTACTCAAGACTCAAATAGGAAAATCAAGCATGCAGCTCTTTTCAGGGTTCACCGAACGGAATTACTGAACTTGCCACATGGGCCCGTGTCCCTTGAGGTGAGGAAGAGGAGGAAGTGGCAGCTGGGGCCCATACTCACGTTTTTACGTAGGGGTCTGAGTAGCCATTGGCGTCCATGGCAGCCAGGTGTGCACAGCGCACGATGCCGACCAGCAGGCCCTGCTTCTGCGAGCTGTACTTCAGTGAGATGAGGATCCGGCCCCGCTCCTCCAGTGACTTGTCCTCTGTCTTGTCTACCTGTTGGGCGGGTGGTCACTCAGCTGCCCTCACTTGCTTCTTCTGCCAGCTGGGGCCTGGCCCACCCTCCCCACTCAGCCAGTGGGCCACTCAAGTCACTCACAGGCCTCTCCTAACCCAAGCCTGCTCAGTCCAGGCCCTCGTCAGTGCTCCCCGGCTGTCCTCATGGCCTCTCCCCTGTTCAGTCCAGGCCCTCGTCAGTGCTCCTCAGCTGTCCTCATGGCCTCTCCCCTGTTCAGTCCAGGCCCTCGTCAGTGCTCCCCGGCTGTCCTCAAGGCCTCTCTTCAGCATCTCCTTGAGACAGAATCTGACCCCATCACTACTGCCTGTGGCTATCATCACTTGCACAATGAGGTCACACACCTGGTCTCATCCAGGGGTCAGCAAACTATGGCCCACGGGCCACATCCTGCCTGTTGCCTACTCCTGTGTGGCCCTCTTATGGTCTTCTTCATGACTGCACATTTTAAGTGGTTGAAAAGAAATAAAAAGAAAAATTTCATGACTCATGAAAATGATAAGGAATTCAAATGCCAGTGTAAGTTTTTAATAAAATGAGCCATGTCTATTCATTTTCATATTGTCAAGTGTGGTGCTACAAAAGAACATAACTGGGTGACCGCAACAGAGGCCGCCAGGACACTAGGCCTGCACTGTTCACTCTCTGGCTGTCCACAGAAAATGCGTGTGGGCCTGGCCTGGCCCCAGCCTGCTCCCCCGGGCTGTCCCCACACTGTTCCTGTGCGCAGCCTCGCCTGGCCTGACCTCTCCATAGCTTCAGGCAGGTTGTCTGCTCTCTCTACCTTTGGGGTCCCTGCTCAGTGCCTGGTGGCCTCACCACTGTCTGCTCCTTTTTTAGGCTCAGTTCTATGGGTCCAGGCAGGGCGACTTCCCTGATTGTCCTGTTCTGTCCTCCCTGGGCCTCAGGTCCTCTGTGAAGGTGTCAGGTAACCAACTGCTTCCTGACCTGTCTGCCCGCTGTACTCTGGGCGTCTTCAGAGTGTGCTGACATTTTGTTACCCCCGGCAGGCAGGAGGGTTATCTCAGTGAAGGTGGTAATAAAAGGACAGATGGACCCTTCTGGGCTCAGCCTCACATCAGGAACGTTTGTCGCTGTGGGGGGTGAGAGCTAGGGTAGTGAGGGGTGGTCCTGGCCCAGGTCCCCTATAAAATGCCCTGACACACACATTCCCCAGGCCAGGAGTGCTCATGCCTTTGCCTCAGGAGCCACCGGAGTAGACAGGCCGGGTCTCCAGCCTTTATCCCTCCCTCAGGAGACCACTCATTTCTGCCCTCAGGTTACAGGTCACCAGGAACCTCCTCTCCTTCACCATCTGCCCATCAGACACGTCAGCCTGATGACCTCTCTTCAAGCTATTTGCCAACCTCCTCAAGCATGCGATCCCTTTTCTATGACTGCTCTTAGACTCATGTGACTCCCCACGTGGTCCCCACATAGGCAGGGCCACATCTAAAACTCCCTTGGAGATGGGACCCCATGAGGTGAAGGAAGGGACATCTGGCAGGTGACCCATGGCCACCTCTCTCCAACTCCCATATCCTGAGCAGACATGACTAATTGACAACAGAATTTACTGTGCACTCTGATGCAACCTCAGCACCTTACCCAACACTGTGCTCAGGCAGCCACGACCAATGGATCAGACGTGGCTGTGACATTTAATCATCTGTCACTCTAGTCCTGGGCTCTGCGTGTGAGGCCCTCACTAAACCATGGCTCTTGTCTAATTTGTGTGGTGGGAGGCAAATCAAACCCTGTAAAGGATCAGGGGGATATTTTCAGTTCTCTTTTCAGGGCTGGGATATTGTACTTTGGTTTTAACATATGAAGACCACTGAACTGTTCAACATTAGAACAGGCTTAGAGATGATGCCCACCACCCATCTGCCCATTTACTGTCCTGTGGTGGCTTGAATGGTGCTATGACGCTGAAAGTGTTGTCAAGCGATATTTCAAATAACAACAAGGGGCAGGTTTCAGCAAAGCTTCCAGACTAAGATGAGGAAGAAAGGCCTGGTGGTATAGTTTTAAAAATTAGCCCGTGACAACCCTATGACAACAGAATTTTATTTGATGCAGAGCTGGAAGATGAGCCTCCAGGTGGGAAGGAATTCATAATACACAGTGACTGCAACATGGACCCAGCAACGGTGTGGATGCTGCAGGACCGGGCAACGCCTCACGTGGTTGTACGTGACCCAATGGACTTGTCGTCAACTTGATGGCAACTAACAGCAACAACGGGAGCTCTGGTAGCCTAGTGGTATACAACTGTCCTGTCAATCCAAAGGCACCTGGTTCAAATCTACCAAATGCTCCAAGGAGCAATCTCTTCCTGTGCGGTTTACTGTCTCCGAAAACCTGCTGGATGGTCAGCTATAAGTCAGTTCTGACTTGATGGTACATAACAACAATAACAAAACAACAACAACAACAACAATGATCTAAAATGCACCTCCATAATGCATCTCAGCTGTTATCCTAAACTGTACTCCTACGATCCCCATCCAGTTCTGTTTCTGAGCCAGTCTGAACCAATGTGCTATTAGCAAATTAAAGTGAGGATAAACATCGTCCTGCTCGCTCTCTCTCTCTCTCACACACACATACACACACAAGCATGCATATATTCATAAAACACGTCGCACACAAGCATACACAAGCTCTCACATACAAATACACAAGCACACACAAGGCCATGTATTCACAATCATACACTCATACATTCACTTTTCACCAAACACATCACACTCATGCAAATACACATGTATACACAGATTCACACTTGTACACATGTGTACTTGTGCTTACACCTTCATAAGGTACATGTCACACACACATACATACAGACACACATGTGTTCACATACTCTTTCACAAAGATGCACATTCACACACACACACACGCGCGCACACACACACTCTCTCTCTCTCTCACATGCCCCCACACTTGTTTGTTTATGCCAGTGATCAAAACTCAGGAACACAACTAGAGTAGGAGTTGATGTTGCCTTTTATAAATGACATACATCATTTGGAGAAACTAGGTTAGCTCTGGTTAGTGACTAATAATAAAACAAAAAAGGTTAGATCCGTCACACAAATGCCTGTGAGTGGGAGAGCGCATGATGGGGGGGATAAAGCTTGATTGAGTTATGCAAAATGACAGATGTGGGCTTCTGGCAGGAAGCGATGGCACAGGTGCGAGCTGCTCATTGGGCCTGGCTTAGCTCAGCTGCTGTGCAGCGTGTGAGATCCGGCACCTGCGGGGGTCTGGGCATGTCCCCAGCTCTGCCCACACCCAGGCCTCTGGAGAAGGGGGTGTGTGTGTGTGTATGTGTGTGTGTGTGAGAGAGAGAGAGAGGGAGGGAGAGGGAGAGGAGAGGGAGAAGAAGAAGGAGAGGGAGACACAGAGAGACACACACAGAGAGTCTGTCCTAAGCGGCCTCAGGCAGGACACAGCGTTTCTGTGAGCTCTGACCACCCTCCTAGCCCTTCTGAGAGATGGGAGGGTGGCATAGTGTCAGAAGGGACAAATAGACTGAAATGGCCACCAGGAAGGGCTCAGCTGCTGGACACGGCCAGAGGGTAAAGTCCATTCGGCCATCACTTTTAAACAACTGTAACCTCTAGGAGAGAATGATTTTCTGTCTTTTTGGGGCATCTCAGCAGGCATCTCTAGTCTAACTCGCCCACTCTGAGCTCTGCGTATCCCCTGCTGCTCTCTTTCTTGCTTAGTTAACAGTCACCTCTTCTTTGTGGGTCCTCAGACCCCAAATCCTGATTCTGTCCTTGTCCTCATGGTCACACCAACCTCCCCATGCCCGCACCAACCCCCTCTCCCACCTCTGCCCCTTAACCTCCAGGCCAGGGCCAGCCTGCTGGGGAACTCTTCCTAACTGACCTCTCCTGGCAGCCCCTGCCCACTCCCTGCCACTGTGTGCCCTGCAGGGTATGAGTGCAAGTGTGGTGTGTGAGAGTGTGTGTCCTGTTCAAAAGGATGTGGGAAGGCCTTGCTCACTCTGCACCCCTAAGACTGCTCTGAAGATACAGCTGGTGAGAATAAACACCTCCTATCCAGCCCCCCGCTTCCCCCCGCTATGGCTTCATCTCACGGGGAAGCGAAAGTTCTTCCGAGGGTCTCCTCTCTTTCCCTTTCCTCTCTGATCTCAATTTCCAGGGTCCCCCACTCCCACTCCTCCTGCTCTACTCTCACTGGCCACCCTGGGTCCCAAATAAGCCGACGCTCTTTCCTGTGCAGCCCTAGCTCACCCCAGAACCTGCCCTGCTCACCCAGCATACTGTACACACCTAGTGTGATGTCACGTTTTATCAGAACAAGGAATTGAACTCTGTCTGATGTGTGTGGCCCCTGGCTGCTGTGAGGTGGCCCCTGACACACATCCCAATGTGGGCTACGGACTAGATGGTTGTGATAGCCAGGGTTTTCACTGGCTTGTTTTGAAGTAGATGACCAAGCTTTTCTTCCTAGTCCATCTTAATTTAGAAGCACCACTGAGTCCTGTTCAGCATCACAGCAACACACAAGCCACTGAGGTGCGATGCCCTGACTGGAAGTTGAACCCGGGTCTCTCACACAGAAGGCAAGACTTCTACCACTGAGCCAGCTCTGCCTCCCCCACCTCCAGCACCTGTCTCAGTGAACCTCTACCATGTCTGCCTCCTTCCCGGGTCCGCGTTTCCCTTCTTGTCCCTTATCACTATTTCATACACTGTCTATTTTGACTATCTCTCATTTGTCCCCTGGCCAAGTTAGTATTTCCAGCACCTTGAACGGTGCCAGGGATGCAGCAGATGTGCAAAAAAGTGCTCCAAGTCCTGCGTGCAAGGCGGGAGGGCACGGGGCACGCGTGCTGATGCCTGTGGCTGAGCCCCCAGCCTCCCACTCACCGGCAGCTGCTTCTCCAGGCAGATGCTGAATGTCTTGGTGTGGTTGGGTTTCAGCTTCTTCAGGGGCACACGCGTCTCCCCGATGAACTCGTTGTGACGGAATTTGTCCTCATCACACACAGAGATCCTGGAGTTAAGGGCACAACCAGAAACTCAGGCACACAGGCTCTGGCCTTTGGCTTGCAAACTTGATGCAGACTTGCCAAGTGGTGGTGGGATGTGTATGTGTGTGTGTGTGTGAGAGAGAGAGAGTGTGTGAGAGATAGAAAGAGAGAATGTGTGTGTGTGAGAGAATGAGAGAATGTGTGTGTGAGAGAGTGTGTGAGAGTGTGTGTGAGAGAGAGTGTGTGAGAGATAGAAAGAGAATGTGTGTGTGTGTGAGAGAGAGAATGAGAGAATGTGTGTGTGAGTGTGTGAGAGAGTGTGTGAGAGTGTGTGTGTGAGAGAAAGAGAGAATGTGTGTGTGGTGTGTGTGTGTGCGCGCGCGCGCACGCCCGTGCGTACTGGGGCCTCACTCAGGCTGAGGTCAGGTTGAGGAGAGGGTTCGGGGGGGGCAGGCACTCAGGACCCTCACCCACCGCAGGGTTTTCCGGATCATGTCCTCGTCTGTGATCCCGTAGTAAGTGAGGGTCTCGTTCCAGGTGGGGTTCAGAGTGTTACGCAGTGTTTTTGTTCTGAGTTTATTTGCCTGCAGACAGGAAAAATGACATCATGAGCACCAGGGAGAGTCTACATTCTAACCCCCCGAGCTTGTGACGAGGTTGTGCGATGTGACAAAGGGGAATTACAGCTGCAGACGGAGCTGACTGTAAGGTGGGTCCAATCCCCAAACCAGCAGCCATGGTGTCGGCACTGACTCAGGGCCACCCCTGTGTGTCACCCCATGTGACAGAACTGTGTGCTCCACGGGGTCTGTGGTGACTCATTTCTCGGAAGCAGATGCCCAGGCTTATCTTCTGAAGAGCCTCTGGATGGACCAGAACTCCCAACCTCTCTGTGAGCAGCCAGGTTCGTTAACCATCCATCTGCACCACCCATCGATTCCCAATCAAGTCACAAAAGTAGCAGCTTTCCTTAAAAGAGGTGAGGAGGAGGAAAACAGGGTCAGAGGAGGAGTGATGATGGAAGAATGGTCAGAGATAAGTGTGACTGGCTTAAAGACAGAAGAAGGGGCGAAGGGTCAAGGATTGCCAGTGGCCTCCGGGAGGTGGAAAAGAACAGGAGGTGAGCCCCAAGAACTGACTCAGTCCTGCTGACGTCTTGCTTTTTAGCTCAATGAGAGGCTGAGCGGGGACCCGCAGAGAATGCCCAGGCCCCCACCTTCTATGCCACATTCTCCACTGGATGTTACTATTACACACAAAGAGAGAGGTCCTGTGACTGGTTTAGTGCTTGACCACTAAACACACGCTTGATAGTTCGAAAATCACCAATCACTCTGGATTAGTACGAGCATCATGAGAATGCTGAGGGTAACCGACCTTTCGGTGGCGGTTCCCTTGGACTGTGGGGTGCCCCAGTCCTCCACTCTGGTTTAGGAGAGCTGGAGTCCCTAACCAGCTCAGCCTGTGGTCAGACAGCCCAGGGCGGTCGCCAGGAGGAGCTGGTGGGCTGTCTTCCTGGGAGGACCAGGCAGGAAGTTCCCAGCCTTTGACTTCTGAGAGGCGGAGACGGAACCTCAACCCTGGGCTCCACCCCTGTGTCGGGCGAGAATGGGGTGGGATGTGTCCCTCTATCTCCCCATCAGATTCCCCGCTGCACAAAAACAAAGCTCTGTGGGTCCCAGGCCCAAGACCAGACACAACTCTAAAAAGATGGTGACGACCTACCCATGCAATTAAAATACGAACAAGAGCAAGCTGCGAGATGCATGGAACAAGACCCATTCAAGTGCTGATTTTCCAGCGCTCTTCCTTCCTGGATGCACCTGTTGCAGGTGCCCCAGGCATGTGCTTGGTCTACTTGCTGGCTCATTTGGCATGTGGGCCTGAGTTCTGCAGTCAAATAACCTAGGCAGACCCTGCCTACTCCTCCCTGGAGAGTCACAGAGCAGTCCATCAACTCAGGAAAGGCTCTGATAAGTCCTGCAGTACTAAGAGACCTTTTTAACAGTGTTTCCCACTGTTACGTGACCACATACTACACACATACCTCCACTGCCATCAAGCTGATTCTGACCCTACAGGACTGAGTAGAACTCCCAGAGTTTGTAATCTGTATGGAAGCAGATTGCTACATCTTGGTAGCAATGAACCATCAAATTTTTGTTTAGCTGTTGAGCACTAAAGCTGCGTGCCATCAGGACTTTTTATATAACCACAGGGCTTTTCCTTTGCATATAATATTACCATCCAGTGTAAAATGCTGCTTATAAGATGCTGGCTTGGACATTCTCTGCGGAACCTCCAGTTTAGCAGTCATAACGCACTCCAGGTCCTTGGGTGGCCTGGGGTGAGGTGCTGACTGGGTGCTCATAGTGCAAGTGAAGGGCTCTGAAGAGGGTGCGGGAGCTGCAGACCACCTCCGTGTCCCCAAGCCCACCCAGGCCCCTGTCCTGATGTTGGGCAGAGCTGGCTGGCAGGTGGGGTAGACCCGCTCACCTTACTGGCTCCTGGTAGCAGGTGCAGCTTGACGTAAGGGTCTGCCAACCCATTGTGGTCCATTGGCTTCAGGCCCTGGGCAGGGACAGCAGAGGGTGAAGTGAAGACCGAGGCACACAGCACCTGGGGCCCCTGGGAGCCCAGCTCAGCGATGTCCTGGCCTCCACGGCCTCCTGGCTGGATCCATGTACTGATACCCCTGACCTCATGCTTCCAGACACAATGCCTCCACCCCTCACCTCAATCGTCCTGGTCCAGGGCGGCCTCTTTATGCACCAGACTTTCCCTCCTAGTCTCCGGATCAGCACAGCAAAGCAGGGGACACACACCACTTCAAGTGATGTGAAATGATCCTGCTTTCCAGCCTGCTGGGAAGCCCCTCCCCTCCCAATTTCCCTCCTCACATCCTAGCCTCCTCCAGGGACACTCCCTTCCCACACTGACCCTAAATCCATGTGACTCTCTATCCACACGCTTTCCTTATAGCCCCGGGGCCTGGGGTGTATGTATCTGTGTGCATGTGGATGTCTGTCTGTCTGTTTGTATGTCTGTGGGTGTATGTGTGCACGTGTATAAGTGTGTGTGTATGTCTCTGTGTCTGTCTGTGTGCATGTGTGTATGTCTGATGTTCTGTGAGACTGTTGGGGAGGACGGCACACCTCCCAGACAGGCCTCATCCTCAGAAGTCACACAGCTGGCCAGCCAGAGGGTCCCTCCACAAGATGGCACCGCTGACTAACTTTGCTGCCAGGTTCTTTTGAAATAAAAACAACAACAAAAACCCACCTTAAAACCAAAACAACTAAATGTGCACAGCCAGGGAACAAATGGGACTGTAAACAGACAGGGGCTCAGCTAACCTTATGTGTTCTTGTTTCTGAAAACTGTATTCCCCCTGCCCCCCGCAACCCCCATCAGGGATATATCGCACCTAGGGCACAGAGAAGCACTAGCAGACCAATGACGTTATACAAAGATGAACTACAAGCTTTCTTCACTGGGGGGCAGGCAGCTGGGCTGCGGTGACCAGCTCACCTTGCAGTGAGCCCAAGACCCTTCTCCTGGGCACCCAGCTCCGCCTGGCTTTGGGGCTCATAGCAGTGGCTATATTTGGGAGGGAAGCTCACAGCACCCATTTCTCTTAAAAGGAAGCTACGGGGTCAGCTGTGAGTTGACTCTATCCTTTTTTTTTTTTAATTTCAATGAACATCTACAGAGATTTTGGATTTCCATTCATTCATTGCTGCACCTTTCTCCCCGGAGTTGACTCTCTCTTGATGGAACATAACAACAACAACAACAACAACAACAACAACAATAAAAAAGAAAAAGTAAAAAGGGGAAAGGTGAGTGAAAGAATGGGAAAGGTTCAATGGGAACTTGCAAAGATGGGGTGATAATAGGCCTGTACTAATGGTAATGAATTATAATGTACGCGGGTGACTGTGCATGTCCATTGTGAAAACAATCTCCATAAGTGAAACACAATGTATATGAGTGACTGTATAAAACACAAAACACATGCATGGAAAAAAGAAAAAAAGAAGCTACTGGGGACGGGTCCAAGCCCGGGAGTTAGGCTTGCCTGGGCTCGGATCTCAGTTCTTACACTTTAAATGGATGAGTTACTTTGCCCCACAAGCCTAGGTTTTCCCATCTATTCACAGGAACAGTAACTCCAGGTCTTTAGGTTGGCATGAGCAGTGGGATCTGGCGGGCAGGGGACAGGTTCCTCTGCCTTGATGTGCCAGGCTCCTGGGGAGGTGGGGATGAGGGCTGGACGGGGGTATCGAGAGCTGTGGGGGCACTGAGCCCGGCTCAGGCGCCCTGCATGCACCCACCACAGTGAGGCGGCCCTCCAGGTCCCAAGGCATCAACCAGCTTCTCGCTTCTTTTCACTAAGTGTCCAGTGGTGGTCATCCTGGGCCTCTAGGGTGGCTGGTGGCACGGCCTGAGCTGGCAGGGATCTCCTTTGAAGACCCATGTTTCACTTGACAGTTCTTGTAAATTTGCCTGTAGTGATTGTAGCTAAAAATGTTTCCTCTGGGCCACATTTCTTGACTTTTTATTTGCTCATCTTTGCAGTCTGTGTTTTCCCATGTTTACCCAGTGGCTCTGCTGGTCCCAGCTCCATGCCCTGGGGTGCCCTTGGGAGCTAGGGTGAGGTAGAGGGGCAGCCGCAAGACCGGGCTGGGAGTGGAGTCTACTCTGTCCTCCTGGGCTCTTGGGTTCTGACAGAAGGCCTGCTGTTACCCTCCCACCACCATCAACCCAATTGGCAGGTCCTTGGGCCCCGTGTATGGCCATACTCTTAGCTGGAGAAGGAGGAGGCCCAAGGTGCTGCCTGTAGGCTAAGTTCAGCTTCCCACTCATGACCTCTGTGCCCAGAGGGCAACTTCCTGTCCCTACCCAGTCTGTCCACTGCAGATGACCAATGGAAAGAGGGGGGCCTTTCAGGTTGGTGGCCTGCTAAGGGTCTCTAATGTAAACACACCTCCCCTGCCAGCTTACTGTGTCTGTAAAGTCAGATCATGATCTTCTGGCACTGAGAGGGACAGGGAAGCAGAGGGTCTAGCCTGAAAGGCTACCTTCCACCAAAGCCTGCCCACCCGGGGCCTCTGGGCGCTGCCATGGGGATCACTGAGAAGAGAGGCTTTCTGGATGGCCCAACACAGGGGCCACATGTCTATCCAGACTGGCTGCTCTGATGGAGTTTTCTAGTTCCTCTCTGAATACATGTGTTCACATGTTCATCTCCATGTGGATTTGAACATAATGTACCTGCATGGATGTGCAGATAAGTGTGTGTGTCCATATGCACATGCACGGCCATGTAAGTGGACTTACAAATGACTGTGTGTGCAGGAAGTACACACACGTCTGTCTGTATGTGCATGTGTACACACATGACTACAAAGATGCACGCTCGTATGCATACACTCGTGTGCCAACATGTGTCCATGCATAACAGTGTGAGTGAGCGCATGTGTATTCTGCATGACTGTGGGTGTGCATACGTGTGCATGCATGGATGTGTACATACACGTGTGTGTACACGCGTACAAGCACAAGTGTGTGGGTGGGACATGCCTCTGGTCCTGTCCCCAGGACAGAGCATCACGGAGTGCTCAGTGTGTGTGTGTGTGTGAGAATTTATTTAATACAAGCACAACGTAGAGTGGGATTACCACTCCTATTGTACAGAAGGAGAAACTGAGGCTGGTTTGCAGGCAGTGGGTGGTCAAGCTAGGGCCCAGACCCAGGTCTATCTGACTTCTCCTCAGAGACCCCCGAGAGGCTCCTTCTATCAGCTCTGCTTAGCTGCCCCATTCCCTTCTCTGAGGCACCTCCCCACGCTCTCCCCCACCCCAGCTCATCCTCCACCAGCTACCGCCTCTTTCCTGCAGAACAGGGTTGGGGCAGAGTGAACTGGAGAATCGGGAAGCCATAGCTTCTCTTCAACCTCTAATGCCTCCAGGACACTCACAGTGTGTCACACCTACCCACACAGACATGTGCGCATGCGCGCCACACACACACACACACACACACACACACACACACACACACACACGCGCACACATAGGAATCTATGTAATCTACAGCCCTCCCCCAAAAGCAGGGAATAGAGCTGGTGTCTGGGGAGAGGGGCAAAGGAGTGGGCTCTGGCCAGAGTGGCCTGGCAGCCAGTGCCCATCCTCAGGCCCCAAGCCTGCACAAATTCTAGAAGCTGGGCTGAGGAAGAAGGGGTCTGCTCAGGCCTGCAGCAGAGATTCCAGATCCTCAGCTCGGTACCAGACCTGAAGCTCCTCCAGGAAAGCTGGTGTCGTCTGGGCAAGGCCTGGGAGCTCTGGGAGGAGAAAGTTGGGCAGGGACTGAGTGTGTAGGCCCCTCAGTGCCCAGCCTGGGCCTGACCCACAGTGGGCAGTGCTCACAGCTGTCCATGCAGCCTGGATCTGGTGGCCCAGCTGGGGTTGGAGGCACAGAGCTCTGGACAGCCCTTTAGGCAGGACGATGGGAAGGAGAGACAGAGGAGACGCCTTGCTCTGAGCTGCAGTGGCTCAGGGCCTCTGAGCACTACACACACACTTTATCTAGAAGGTTCTACCAGGCTACAAAGCTACTCTTACCTTTCGAGAGAACATCAACTTGGGTACCTTCCTCCCAGAGGGAGCGATGGGTGGGGAAGGATGAAGGGGACAACGCAGTTGAGAACACAGAGCTGATACTTGGCAGCCCAGGTGCTGGGCCGCAGGTGGAGGGTAGTAGGGGGTGGATATTAGTGGAATACCATGGCCCCAGGAATGCTGGCTGGAAGCTTGGCCAGCCCATAAGGCAATACTGAGGGCCTGTCAGACTACGTCCTGACACCCCAAAAGATTATCCCCAATAGCAGGGGGTTAGTAGTCAGACCTGGAGGAAGGTGGGGCCTGCGGACTCTGTGAGGAGTTCAGGAAGCTCAGATACTGGGAACTCTGGGGGCCAGAGGCAGCAGGATACAACCCACCTCAGGACCTACAGAGGAGACCTGCCACCTCACCCCTTCTTTTTGAGCACATCCCCAGGCCCTCCTGATGCTCCGCGGGACCGCCTCCTGACAGCCCCACTGCAGCCTGCATCCTCAAAAGCTTTTCTTGCCTCTTTCTTTGGTTCTGTTTCACACCCCCGGTACCTGGATGCATGGGGCTGGGCAGCTGAGATGGTTTAGGCAACAGTTCCTACCCTGCCCTGCATGCCACCCCCTCTCCCATAAACCATAAAGCCTGGATCGGAAAGAGAAATCCAGAAGGACTGCAAAGGGAACCCAGTCCCGTTTCCTGTCAACTGTCTGTCTGACCTCTAGAAGCCTGGCCGCAGGCTGGGGGGTGAGGGGAGCCTACCTTGGCCTTGCTGATGGTACAGTGGAGAGCGTTGTTCTCCTGGTCATAAAGCAGGCTGAAGTCCAGTGTGCCCAGGGCGGCTGCGGGCAGAGAGGTGACAAGTCACTGTTTACTTCAGGAACAGGCCTCACCTGGGGCACGTGGGGGTCCTGACGTGTCAGTTGTCACCCCACAAGGCCCTGCTGCCCACCAGGTACTCGACACCCTGTCCCTCCTCATCCACTCAGCCCGGGCAGTGAGCTGTAGTCTACCACTTTGCAGATGAGGCTCAAAGAGGTTAGGTTAGCCACTTGTAGTTGGGAGATGGAAGCCCAGATTTAAACAGCTGACCCCAGACCTGACCCCCAAGCCCCTGCTGCCCACCAGGTACTTGACACCCTGTCCCTCCTCATCCACTCAGTCCGGGCAGTGAGCTGTATACCACTTTGCAGATGAGGCTCAAAGAGGTTAGGTTAGCCACTTGTAGTTGGGAGATGGAAGCCCAGATTGAAACAGCTGACCCCAGACCTGACCCTCAAGCCCCTGCGCTGCTCAGCTGGCCGATGGCCCGTGTGAGTCCAGCTAAAGGTAGCTCCTGCCTTTCCTATGTTACTGCCAGCCTGGGCTCCGTGCCTCAGTTTCTCTTGCCTGCGAAATATATATATATATATTTTTTTGTGAGGAGTCACTGCCCACCTGCGGCAGTGCTCGGGGCTGCAGCTCACATGTCTCTCTGCCCCCTGGGGGGTGGGGGTGGGGGGAAGGGGAGCCTGGGCAGGGGAGCCAGCTGGGCCCTCACACTGCTGTTCCCAACTGGGTCCTCATAACTGCTCCCAAGCTTCTCGAAGGCTGTGGGTGATTCCCAAGGGCCAGGAGAATGGCCATCAAGGACTGGGTGCAGCTGCTGCCCCAAGGGTGTTCACGTGCAGTTACTGGGCATGCACGTGGCTCCCCCCAGGAAGGCGGAGGTGCAGGTCTGCAGGAGACAGGAGATGCCCGTCTGCAGATGCCTGCAGAAGCCCCAGCCCTGCCCCCAAGCTAGCCAACCAGCACCACATTCATTCACTCACCATTGACTCAGTGTTTACAATATGCCGGACTCTAGGGATTAAAAATATCAAGGAAGCAGGGGAGAAAAGGTACAAGGAAAGCACAGCCCCATTGGAGGAATGGACAAAAAGGATTCACCACAAGAATCCAGGGAGCCAGGAGCCATCAAGATCCAAGGAAGGCTGCTTGACCTCAGTGCAAACTGGGCCTGTCAAGGAAGGCTCCCTGGAGGAGGTGATATTTTAACTGGTCTCTGAGAGATGAATAGGAGTTGGCCAGAGGTACAGTGGGTTTGGAAGAGGGGTCACTGAAACCACAGGCAGCCAGGAGGGTAGGAGGCTGAGCGAATGGGGTGATACTGAGGGGAAGGCAGGGCCAGATTTGAAAGGTTTTGAGCTATTGGGCTAGGGGGTCCTAACATGACCAAACTCAGGACAAACTATGGCCCTCTCAGGGCAAAATCCACCAAACCTACTCATTTACAGATGATCCATGGTGACCTTCCCACCACAAAGGCAGAGCTGAGTGGATGCAGACGATCACAGAGCCCACAAAGCTGAAAAAGCTAATTCTACAGAAAAACTGCAGATCCTGGTCCAGGGAAGGGGCCAGGCCTGCCAAGTTTCTCCAGGCTGCAGACGAACGTTAAGGTCCACGTGGACTCTGAGTCGTACTGGCCTTGCTCCACAGCCTGACTTCTCTGTCTTACACTGCAGCTGCACGCTGGTTCGAATCCAGGTTCTGCACTTCATTGCTGTGTGATCTCTCACATCTTCCCAAATCACTTTGTGCCTCAATTTCCTCATCTGTAAAATGGAGACAGGAGTGTCCAGCTCACTGTGGAGGGCTTGGATGGTGCAAACAATGTTTGCTGTCAAGCCCAAGGTGCCTCAGAAGAAAACCCTTACAGTTGACTCTTCAAAAACCAACCACCGAAAACTCTGTGGAGCACAGCTCTATCTGACACACGCGGGTCAACCAGAATCGGAATTGACTTGGCGACAACCGGGTTTCACAGCATCGGGCTTTAACATCACGCTCAGGGTAAAGCAATTGCTCAGAAGATAATTATAGAAGCAGCAGATCCATTTAAGTGATTCTTCTAGACAACTGTTCACGGCCCTCTGAGATCTATTCTGGAATGAAATTGTTCTAAACTAGATCACCCCGCTCCGTGCCTTTGCGAGCAGAATAGACAAACAGTCACTTAAGCTTTCCTGAACAATCCGAGTCACTGCTGTGACTTCGATGACTGTTTTGTGTCACAGTCTGGCTGGGACACTGAAGGAGTGTGAGACCCTCCCTCCCACGAGTGGACCAGGTGGCTGGCTATTCTCTTTGAGAATGTCTTGGTTTTTCGCTCTCCTTCACCATCATCTTGAAAGCCTTCAGAGAACTAGCCCCCAGCAGCTCTCTCTCTTCAAGTAGCTGATGGCTCCTTCTATGAAGGTAGGAGAGAATAGGTGTTACAACTGCCTCAGCTAAGGGTCCAGAGGCCTCGAGAGGAGCTTGAGTGGATAATATTTGGCCCTTTGTGGTCTATGCTTCGTTCCCTCCTAGGCAGGAGAGCAGATAAGAACACTCTGGGGCAGGGGGAGGTACACATGGCCAGGCTCATAATCAAAACAGCCACGGACCCAAAAGTCACTGGTCTATGTTTCTGTGAAACTGTTCCTCAGAGGTGTCAGCTTTGCTGCTGCTGCTGCTGTTATTGTTGTTAAGTGCCATCAAGTCAACTCAACTCATAGTGACCTTGTGTACAACCGAACAAAACAATGCCTGTTCCTGCCCCTCCTCACAATCATCGCTACATCTGAGCCCACGCTGGCAGCCACCGTGTCAATGCATCTCTTGGAGTGTCTTCTTTCTCACCATGTTTTACCACACATGGTGTCCTTTCTTCAGGGATTGTTCCCTCTTGATCAGATTCCTAAAGTATGTGAGATTTTGAGGATTGGGGTTGCCATCCTCGAATCTGAGAAGTATTCTGGCTGTAGTTCTTCTAAGCCAGATTTGTTTGTTCTTTTGGCAGTCCTTGATATATTCAGTGTTCTCCAACTCCACAATTCAAAGGCATCAATTCTTTGGTCTTCCTTGTTCACTGTCTAACTTTCGCATGCAGATGCTGTTGGTGTTGCTAGGTGATGTCGAGTTGAGTACAACTCAGAGCAATCCTATGAACAACAGATCTGAACCCTGTCCTATCCTGGGCCATCCTCATACTTCCTGACATATGAGAACCCATTGCAGCAGTCTCCGTGTCAATCCACCTGACTGACAGTCTTCCTTTCCTTTGCTGACCCTCCACCCGTCCAAACGTCATGTCCTTCTCCAAGGAACAGCCTCTTTTAGCCACATGCCCAAAGTATGTGAGGCAAAGCCTCATCATTCTTGCCTCCAAAGAGCACTCTGGCTACACCCTCTCTAAGATATATTTGTTTCTTCATTTGGCTGTCCATGAGATGTTCAGTGCTCTTTTCCAATACCACAGCTCAAAGGCATCAATTCTTCTGCCATCCTTATTCATTGTCCAGCTCTCAGACGCACAGCAAGTGATTGGAAAGACCACGGCCTGAATCAGATGCACCTTAGTCCTCAAACTGACATCATTACTCCTCAATAAAATGCAGATGAGGTGTTAGAAAATAGCAAGGCTTGGATCAGATGCACTGTAGACTTCAAAGTGGTAGTTTTGCTTCTTAACACTTTAAAGAGTTGTGGTTTTTTTTAGCAGATTTATTGAATGCAATACGTCATCTGTTTTCTTGACTGCTACTTCCCAGGAGGTGTTGATGGGACCAAGGAAAATGCAATTCCTGGCAACTTTACTCTTTTCTCAGTTTATCACAATGTTGCTTATTGGCCCAGTTGTGAAGATTTTTGCTGTATGTTAAGGCATAATCCATCTTTGATCTTCAGCATTAAGTGCTTCAAGTCCTTGCTTTCAGCAAGCAAGGTGGTGTCATCTGCACATCTCATGTTGCTAATGAGTCTTCTTTCACTGCTGCTGATCCATTTTCTTCACTTAGTCCAGCTTCTCAATTTGCTCAGCACACAGATTGAACCATTATCATCAATGGATACAACCCTGACGCACACCTTACCTGATTCTAACACACGCAAGTCCCTCTTGTTCCAGCTGAGTGACTGGCGCGTGGGTTCTTGTACACAATTAAATATTCTAGAATCCTCATTCTTCACAATCTTATCTATAATTTGTTATGATCCAGTCTATTGCCTTTGCATAGTCAAGAAAATGTAAGTAAACACTTTCCTGGTATTCTTTGTTCCCAGCTCAGAGAGCAGACATCAGCAACGAGATCCCTCGCTCCACGTCCTCTTTGGAAGCCGGCTGGAATTTCTGGCAGGGTTTCCTTGCTTCTACTGCAGTAAATAACTCCCCCGTTAGTTCTTCCTGCTCATGGTCTGTCGCCCCTGGACACATCCCATCCACACCCATGAGACCAGCAGGGAGCAGATGCTCATTCCACATGGCTAATCGGTTCACACCCATATGGCTCTTCAACTGCTCAAAGGAGTGGGGACAAGATGTGACACTGTGTGTAATCTCTGCCGTTTCCCTATCCCAGAGAAACACAGGCCAGCGAGGTGAAGGGCTGCCTGCTTCCCACCAGGAAACTGAGCTGGAAGAAGGAGGGCAGTGGCCCTTCACGGCCTCCACAGACACCCCTCTTTAAGGGGGTCTTGCATGACTCTTAGCCGAAACACAGCCCCTAGTACCACTTCCTAAGAAACAACACCATGCTCAAAGCATTACCAGGAAGTTATTAGCAGATTTCTTTGAACTCCAATGTAAGTTTTACAAGAACCTTTGTTCAACAGAATGGCACGCTCGCTGCCTCACCCGCGCCATCTTCAGCACTGTTCCTATGCTTGAGTCCACTCTGGTGGTCACTTTCTTGGTGAGTCGTCCAACCTAGGGGGTTCATCTCCCAGCACCAGATCTGACAATACTGTGTTGTGAACCACAAAGTGTTCACTAGCTATTTTCAGGAGGAAGTCACCAGGCCTTTCTTCCTAGTCTTAGTTT